ACCTGAAAAGTGAAATATTGTATTTTTTACTTGTAGAAATTTTTAACAATGTGAGAAGAAATGCTGCAGCTAGAGTTTCAGAGATACAAAATAATTATTACATATCTTTATGCTCTATTGTATTTGGATTATGGTAACAGAATGGTTATTAACAGAACTGCCGTTTCTCAGAGATGGTCACCATAATGCTATTACTGTATCATTTATAATTTCATTAGACATTTAATTGTCTGATGCCAGTGTGTTAGAGTGTGGGGACTGGAATGCCAGCTGCTGTTGGACATCCTGGGTTATGGTTTGTGTGAGCAGAGGTTAATTTGTTCTGTTTTGCTTTCTCAGTGTTTTTCAGTAAACATGTTTAACTGTGTTCCTGTGCTGGTCACTGTGACTGCCCAGTGATTTTTCTAATTTAATTTATATAGTAAGAAAAATCCAGCGGGGGGATGTTCTTCTGTCCCAGCTGTTTTCTCATTTCTTCTTGTCTTTAGGAAGTAGCTATTTATAGAGGTGCTTGAGTCCAAATTAACAGCTTTAACGTAATAAAGAGGTAAAACTAATTGCTATCAAATTTCTCCTTGGCACAAAGATTAGGAAGCCTGAACACAAGTGTTAAAGAAGATGAAAGATGATTTAGTGCACAAAGCAGTAAGTTCATGGTTCAGTGAAACTTCATGTGATCTTAGGCAAGGCTTTTAATTTATCTTTTCATACGTGTTTAATTTTCCTATTTGTAAAAATAAGGATACTATTTGCCTAATTTACTGGGAAGAGAATTAGTCAGCAAATCATCTGTTAGTAGTTGCAAAGTGCTTATAAACTGTTGATAAAGGCCATGTAAGGATTTGAGTGACTGGATAAAAAGCAACAGTGAACAAACTGTCTGTTTTCCAGGAGGAACTTGTAATCTTAGGACACATTTCTCTGTGGAAAATAAAAACTAAGTAACCAAAGGTGTGAAATTAGAGAACATGGAAGTCCTGTGAGATTATGCTTTTGAGAGAGAGTGCCATTAATTTGCTGAAGTTGGGCTGTTCATTCTCCAGACCAGTATGCACATAAGTGTTTCAGGTTCTTTCATTCACATCCCCATTTGATTTGTTAAGTTTACCCAAAGGGCTTGTTTATTTAGGTCTGTACACAGCAGGCAGTAAACAGAGATATGTGATAAAATCATCTGTGCAGAGGTCTGTGCTGATGCATCCAAACTCCTTGTGCCCAGATGAATGCATTTCAAGTTAATTTGGCCATCTCTTTGTTACACCAGTGTCTGCCATCTAGATATATCTTCAGTGTACATACTCACTTGAGTTGCAGGGTGGGGAGATGAGTCAACCCATGCCTTTCATCCTCTTCTCTTGCTTTCTCTGTCCTTATGATACCCTTTTAAAAAGGCAAAAAAAAGGCAGAGTTGTTCCAATTATGTTTTAAGTCCAAGGTAATGCTACAAGGTGACTCAATTGTGTATTTGTTTAATAATATCATCTTTTTTGTTTCCAAAAATGTCTGCATTATGTGTAAGGATAAGGAGTATAGGCACCTAACAGAAGGGATCAGATTCTAGTGTAATCTTAGTCTGTTCAGTCAGATGATAAATGGTCGCAAGAATTTCTGCCAAGAATTTATTAAAAAATGAAAATGGGAAATGTCTAGCAGAGGAAAAAAATATTCTTATTTTCTCTTTAATGGTCTCTTCAAGCTGTTTAAGCCAGTCATCTCTCATCTTAGTTTTGAAAAGAAACTTGAGTGTATTCTTTTTTTTTTTTATAAGAAATTTTACTCTAGTATGAAAAGATGCCTGCTCTTTGTATTTGCAAAGGTTAACCTATCTTCTTAAAAATGACCTGTCATCCACCAAACATTCTACATGCTTGTTGTTAAACGAGAATCTTGTCACACTGTTGTGTCCTCTATAGTTTGCTGCACTTGGTGTGCTGAGATGGAGACAATAGCTTCTGGCTGCTCTTCTTTTTTGTTGAAACCTATTTAAATCTTGGAAATGTTAACCTCATTAACTTTTTGTCTTCTAAAGATGCACAAGAACCACTATATTTTAAAGCTTTAGAAGAAAATCCTTTATTGTTTAGCAGTATTTAAATGTCTCATTTAATATGGTATTTTTTTGTAGAAAACTCAATATAAAGACTACAACTACTTCAATAAATACAAATCAAAGAGAGCTTGTCATGCTAAACACATTCTTTCTTATTTCCTGTGTTTGAACAAAGTACTAGCATCATCAACCTGATTTTATTGTGTGAAGTACCCTCATTTGAAGAAGCTCATCGCAGATTTTGTGTCTTGTATGTCATTCTTTGAGAGGAAAGAGAATTCCACATAGGCTTTGTACAAATAAGTGGAGGCCCGTAAGAGAGGTGTGCATAAAACCAGGCAAGCCTCACTTCACAGGCAGGATGCCTTTCTGTTTTTAAGCGGAGACCTGGGAATTGCTCACCTTTCCTTTCCCATATTAGGCATACATTTTCTTGTCTTGTATCTGTAGCAATTTGTTTAGAAGGAGCTCAGATCATAGATTTGGCCTTTAGAAAGTTATATTTTTCTTTAATAATGAAGAAGCATATTTGCAGATAATTCTGATGCCTTTTTAGAGGAGGAAGTCTTACAAAGTTTTGTGTAAATTACAAGAGTTTTTAAGCTATCAATTTTTTTTTGCTTTCTGAAACCAGTAATTTCCTGCTTTAGCTGGAAATGTTAAGTATAGTTTTTTAAGTATTAAAGTGCAGCACCAGTATTATTATTCTGCCTTAGCAAGTCTTCTAATACAATGTTTGATTTGTTACTGTGTCCTCATAGGGAAGCATCAGCAGTAGAGTGTACATGACAGTGAGAAAGTAAACACATGCTTGCAATCAAATTAATGTATTTCATCTGTCTTCAACTAATAACAATCTGTCATGCTATCTATCTGAGAAGGGGCATAAACAGTTTATTTTGTGTTTGGAATAACTTCCTGGAGGTAGTTAATGTGACATGTAGTTTGTCTGACATGAGTATAACCAGATCAACACTCTAGATGTTTTCTTGATAACCTAAAAAAATTACTGAGAAAATCTGTACTAGAACTATATTTATATTTCATTTTGAGCTTCCTTAAATCAGAGTAGTGGCACAGTTTTCAGAACTTCCATGAAAGAGTTTTCTTTTCTTGGCAGTTACACAATTTTAGTGTGAGAAAAAGATTGAAAGTATTAATAAAAATTTAACTACAAAAAGCTGCAGTTTGCACTCCGACATTTAGGTTTGAATATTGGAGAAGTGTGTGCTGTAGTAATTTAAAAGTACCAAATTAAAATTAATTTTTAAAAAGCTAAGTAATACACGAAATCTGAAAGTACTGCAGACTTGCTACAATTTATTGTCAAATTAATTTATTATTATTTGTCCATAATTCTGGTTACTCTTATATCAGATACAAATTATTATTAAAAATATCAGACATTTGTTAGGTGATTTTTTTATTTACTCAGAAAGAACCTTTGTGCCTGCTTAGAAAATGAAAGTGCACTTGCTTGAACTTCTAAGTAACCCATTCAAATATTCTTTAAAAACTAAGGCATAATGAAATAGCTCCATCTTAAAGTGGGAAAGCAGTAGGCTACTAGTAAGTCAAGCAATAAAAAGCTAGGGAGGTTTTTTTGTTGCTTTTTTTTTTCTATTTTCTTTGAATGATGGCAGAACTAGAATTAAAACGGGGTAATATTGCTTATGGCAGAAGAGGCCTGAGAGGGGTTCCTTCTGGCCAGAGCGGTGGGACCTGCTGAGGTGTGCTCTGCTGAGGTGCTGCGGGGAAGAGGTTTGATACACTGGGCAGTAAATCCCGTTGCTCAGAATGCTGCTCCCAACATTCATCGTAATTTCTGTTTTATTCTTTAGAATAGTGGATATTTGGCATGTCTTAGAGAAATCCTTTTATTCCCTTTTTCATGTACTTTCCCTTGTGCATCAGAGAAGCAGAACCTTCACACTCTGAATTTAAACTGACTGCGCTTGGGTGTACTTGTGCGACTTCAGTGTGTACTGCGTGAGGATGGTACTGTATAACAGTATTATCGTCTTCAGTCTGTTAGGTTTTCAGGTGTTCAAGCTACGTTTGTTGTTAAGAAATTAGTCTGAAATTATACCAAAAAATAGGATGAAAAAGAGATCATATACAGCCCGCTTTTTTATGACCCTGGAGTATTTTCAGAAGAGAAAATATGTACATAATTTTAAGCACATGTAAATCAAATTAATAAATTATTAAAGTATTTTACTTGTCATGTCTGTGTGGGCTAATCGTGATAGCTCATTATTTAAACATTATGTAATTGTATACCTTGTGTGAACAGCTGCAAATACTTTGCAGAAAGATTTATATTTCATTTTTCACAGCATACTATAAAAGAATATATTTTTGTGTGGTACCATAGATTAATACAGATGTTTACTTATAACTTTAAAACTGCCCTTAATTATATTGAAATATGAAATGGTTATAATATGCATGATATCCAAAAAACTAGATAGCTGTAAATTCATTTAGGTGTTAATACCAGTTTTAGTGGAAAATACTGTAATTATCAGTTAAAAAAAAAAGTTCAGCTTAAACAGGAGAACTGCCCCTTTGTAACAGACTCTCTCGTAGTAATTACGATTGCAAACCTTAAAAGTGAAAGACCGTCAGATTTGGGTGGAGAGGCATCCCTTTACTGAAATTCTCTGAACTGTCTCTTTCATGTTTCTTTTCATACATATGGTTTAGAAAGTGGTTAGGTTAGTTATCACTGCTATAATCATCTAAAATGACTGTATAGTGCCTTATAGTTTGCAAATGTAACCTCATAATCCAGGAGAAATGCCAGCAAACTATTAAACAGTCAGACTTGCTTAACGTGCATTATGCATGCTGCTCAGCTCTTTATGCCATTCTGAACAACTACTCTCACTATTTTTTCAGCTGCTTGGAAGTACCTGTACAAGTTATGTATTTGTGTTTCTTCCAGAATTACCTGAAAGGAAGATTCATGCAAAATGGATGTTTTCCGACTTAAAAAACCCCTGTAGGTTTACATGGAGTTCTTCTCCAGTGATGTTATGAAAGAAGAGACTGGCAGTCCTGTGGGAAAGGGAGATAAATAGCATGAGTAGCAGCTTTTATATTCTGCATAAATGATGTTCTGTTGTCTTTTTAGAGTATGTGCAGTTATTTGCTTGTGTGACAATGTTTAAATAAAAATATACTATTATTACATTTTCAGCAGTTTGAAAGATTATAAAACCAGAACATTTATTATTCTTCTAACTGATGATACATATTTTAAAATACTTACTGGCTTCGTGTTTGTACCAGTTGTATTACTCTGGTAGATTGCTACATGTATTTTACTATTGCCTTAATTTTAAGACAATACAGCTGTGGGATTTGGTATCACACTTTATTCTTTGAAGCAAACTCTGGTGAGCTAATTGTATTTGTTCTATTTAATTTCAGTGAAGCAGGTGAGCTAAAGTAGTATTTAAGCTGTTTGACTATTGGTTTCCACATATATATGGTGTAACGGATCATTTGTCCCTGAGCAATGGTGCTACCTGGCTTGTTGCAGGCCTTTTTTTATCTTATGGAATGGTGCATATATCTCCATAGTGTAAGAGAAACAAATTTGGCATTAATTTGTTTACCACTAGTGGTTTCAGAGACTCAGGTCAAAAGTAGCAGAATTACTCAATCAAGACTGAATTGCTGTCAAATGACTCTGTGTGGGTAGATTGTAAATCTCGCATTTGTATTTTATCTAGCACTTTCTAGTGTTTTTGTATTCACTTGCTACTACCTAATAAGCTAAAGTTTCAGTGACTTACTCTTAATTTCTCAAGTAAAGTTATATAGAGATTTGACTTTGAATAACGATCTGTAGTGTCTCAAGTGATTGCTTAGAATTTTTCTGTCGTTTGATAGTTAGCCTCACAGATAGTCATTTTAAAATATGGTTTCCTTTTCCATTTTGAATTAGCACTGTCAAATTTTCACTGCAAATAAGTGAGGTGTAGCAGCAATTCAAAGGATAAGGAAAATGTTGTTTGTATAAATCACCTGAAGAGGTGACCTAATCAAATCTTTCTGGTCCTAACTCAAAATTACTATTTTGTCCTAGTCTTCTTTGAAGTGTCACTTGATATCTGTGGAGGTGACCTTGATGGTGTTTACATCTTTTTCCTTACCTAAATTCCGCAGTGTTCTTACCTGTTTTTCTTCTCAAATCTTCAGGAGTGCCTTAAAGGGAGTACCCTTGGGGTTTCTATGGGAGTTCCATACTTCTCTCCTAGATTCTGTTTTCTTTTTTCAACTCACTAGATCTCTATTTAGTCTCACCTACAAATCAAAACTGAACTGTCCAGAGTTCATGAGAAGCAAGTATTTTAGTAAACCTTACCTACTTTTGCTACAGCAGACACTGGTCTATGCTGGTTTCATCTCTGAGGGGAGATTTTCACTTGGATCTGTTTGGCTTGGTGGAAGTCATGTCTGAATTCCTGAAGTTGCTTATCTGTTTTTGTTGTGCCAGTATCTTTATGGGATACCTGTACATACCAATGCGTATAGATCTGTTAGTTATGGAGCAGTAATTTATCTTGCTAGCTTTAGTTGAAATGGATCTTCACACTAGATAAGCTTAAAGGTGAATGTTTAATTTTATTCCAGAGAGGCAAAAACTTGGTTTCTTCTTAGTTAGAAATAGAGTTGCAGGAGAGGAAGAGTAAGGCAATAGAGATAATTATTGTAGAATATCTGGCAACCATGGATTTTTTTGTAGTTGTCAGATGAGCTTTTTAGTGTGTATTTCAGGCAGAAAAATGAGCAAACTACAGCAGCCAATGTTGTGGATGACTTTTCTTAGAAAGGGACTTCAAAATGACTTGGGGGGCTGATGAACCCCTTTTTATGTCCTTATCAGGCCAATCAGGGAAACAGTACTATGACCTATCTCTTTCTCTCTCCCCTCCATTGCTCTTGATGTCCTTTTGCTTCTCCTGATTTCAATTTTCATGTGGTTTATTTAAGTATTCCATTTAATGCAAAGTGGTTCCTGTATAGTCAAGGAATTAGCAGTGTACTTCTTTGACATTTTAACTATTACTTTGATAACATACTTTAACCACCATTCCTGCTTGTTGGTCCCATTTTTAAGACCTTTGGAGTTCTAGATATGATAGATTAAAAAAATACTTTCACTGCATTCTGTAAAATGTACACATCTTGGGTTTGCTTTATCTTTTCATGATCAGAAAACATAATTTATTAATGTAGATAGCAGAGTTTGTATCCAAGCACTTAACCTGAAGTACTGGTTTGTAACATTTGTGAGCTTTAGAGATTCGCTGCTTGCAAATAGTTAAATCTCTTTTCGCTTTTCAGACTAAAATCGTTGCGTGTCCTTTAGACATCCCATTATTAATTTCTAGCCATCAGTTTATATTCTACTTCGTAAAAATGGGGCTATTAATTTTTCCTTGCCATTGTCTTCTTTCTCATACACTTCAGATGAGGAGGGTGACTGTACCATCTGGCACATAAACTTCACTTTGGGCCTTTCTCTAAATGTTTATGTTTGATGCGTGTCCAAATCTTGCAGATTCTTTCTTTGAGACCTTTGTTAGATATAGCCTATCATAACCACTACCACAGTTAAAATGTTCTTATTTTGCATCTTAATTTCAGTAAATCCTTTTTCTTGGCTAATGCAATGTTATCTAGTAATTTAGAATATTCTGCAAGATCATTTTCCTTGTTTGTAAGATCAAACTGTATTTATGTATCTGATTCTCTTTCTTTCTATCCAAAAGTTATTTGTCTTTGCCTTTAAACTTTTCATGGCTTAAGTGCATTCTAGTATCATCCTTCATCCCAAGATATCTACTCCTGCTGTTAATTGGCTCATCATATGAGCCCACATTGGCCAGCTGTTAGTTTTCTTTCTATAAAGTCCCTGCATTCCTTATAAACATCTTTTTAGAAAATCATTTTTCTCCTCGAAATCCCTCCCTAAAGTCTTTTTACTGTGATGTCTAAATAAAAGCTGGAGAAGACTTATCTCCTGGTGTGCTAAGAATTCTGCCTGTTGGGCTGACCAACGTCACATGTTCAAAAAAAAGCAAAAAAGGACTGGAAGGTAACTATTTGCTGTATTTTAGCTGATCTTCAGTAACCGTCTATGATTGTGTCTTTAGCCTGGGGCAATACAAGGTAATTTGAATTAGCATAGTAGTTTTTCATTGACTGCAAACTCCAACTTTGTATAGTTAAATGTTTATTAATGCTTCAAACCCTTTTCTTCTTCTACAGCTGTGCCCTCTTTCATTGAGAGCTAATGTAACATGAATTGCCTTGCATTGAACTGTGGGCTGAGAGTGTGCACATGGACAGTTACCTGGCAGTTATCTAGCATAACAGTAACTGTACAGTTCACAGCAGACTGCCCATAATTCAGAAGGCACAAGGTGAAATACTTGTAAGTGGGGAGAAGGACTGAGAATTACACAAAATTCAGAAACATAATTTCATCTTGATTTTTCACTTCCAGTCTGTTAATTTCTAGGATCTTGTGTGCTTTTAATTGTTCTCCTGTAGTAAACTATATGCTCCACTGACCATATATTATTCTTGATGTTCTTCAAATAGAAGATAGGAGGCATTTGAGGATATGATTTCCAATATGTCAGTGGCATTTTCTCCCTGAAAATTCATCAACCTTTTAGTGTGCTGTTGTGTTCTTCCACTCCCTATTCTTTCCTTCCTAGGAAGAGAGTTTGAGAGAGATTGTAATTTGTGAGCTTGTTTTTATGGACTTACATAAGCATGTAATGGTATTTTAGAGGGATAGAGTGTAAATGCTATCTATTTATTTATTTTTATTGTAATTGTGCGTATGTTTTTGAAGTTTGGGTATAGTTGAAAAAATACAGTGAGTGAATTTGGAGGTAGAGTTAAAGTTCCTTTAAGAGCGCATCAAATAAAAATAAAGAAAATATATGTTTATTTTTCCCAAAAGAGTAATCTCACTGTTGTGTTTTCCAAGCTGTACTTAAAGCTGACATGTGAAGGGTAAAAATAATAGTTAATAATTTTAGGCAGTATGCTGTATCTATTCTTAAAGGTGTTCCAACAGAGAGGCTCTTTTCTGGTAGTCATTTTTCAGAGAAAAAAGTGAAGTAGCTATTATATAGACTGCATGAGTTTTTAACAAAATTGCTATCGACTTTGGATTTTATCTTAGTAAATGTATTTGTTCTTCCTCTTTCTTATGAAACTATATATTATATGTTTAATATTATGAAAAAGTGTACTACAAACATTAGTGTTAATAGCTTAGTATTTTAGTTCTTCACAAATTAATGCATGTGGTAACTGGATGATTTTAGGCCTGTTCTTATAAACAAGGCCTTACTGATGTGCAAGGAACAGTAATATGTGGCAAAAACTCCACATTAACCAAGGTAAGCAGTATAAATGGGGTGTAGGAATCCCCTGTTAGACTAAAAATCTCCAAGAGAAAATCTCCAGAGCCTACAAATTAAAGACCTCCAATATCATTTTAAAATAAAGCCTTTTATGTAGTAGGAGAGCATTTTTTCAGCTGATAATCAAATGACACTATTATGCAGGCTTACTAGATTTGCAAATTTACAAGTTTTTACAAGTCAGTTGGGTCCCTTCCTCAGGAAATCAGTTTAAGTTTTTTTTTCCTGTATTGACTCAAAGAGCCTGGTTGTCCTTAAATCCTTGTGAATATATTTGCCTTATAATTTGACGGCATTGAGTCAACACCCTTATAGGAACTGTAATGCAATAAAAAGAGAAACTGTTCAATATAGTTTCCAGTTACCTTAGGATCAGATTTGGAGAAGCTGGAATGTACACAATAAAACCTGTGCAAGACTTGAGTTCCATGTTGTTTTGGAAGCAACCAGTGCTTTTCAACATAAAATACCATCTGAAAGCTTTGCTCTGCTTCCAATGGTTATAAAATGATAAAAATGAAAATGTGTGTGACTCTTGAAATATGCTTTTTATTGGTTTTAATTTTCTGAACCATACCCTTGTGGAATTGAAAGCTTCATATACAAGTAACTAAGCATCAGTAATTTTACTCAGTTAATTTTTTATTATAATGAATGTTTTTGCTCTACCATGTTCTTCAATAAAGTTCTTTATAACTTGTTTACATTTTTTACTTAGAAAAAAATACGTAGATTCAGAAGTGCTTGATGAACTCTATTTTATAAAAGTCTTTAGATTACATTGGAATCTCCAATATGCATCATGTTTGCAAACAGAATGTGCAACACTTAGTTTTGTCTCAGTTTTTTTTATGTAGTTAGCAGTAAAGTTGTTACAGATTGTGTGTATCCAGAAGTAAATCTGTCATTTATTTCAGATAAGAACTTGTTGCAGTTGACCATGCAGTTTTAATTGTGATTGCATTTTAGTTTTGCAAATAAAAATAATCTGATGTAATTTGTTATTTTTATTTTGTCAAATGATTATAAAAAGAAAGGAACTTAAATTGCATACACCTGTAATGGAGAAGATTACATATGATGTGTTTCCAATTAATAATTTCTAAAACAGGTAACTAAATGGGCTCCATTTGTAGTAATTTTTAATTTCTTCAACTTACTTCTAGTTGACTTGGAGCATATGCGCACAGTGAAAGTTGACAAGCATCAGCGATTTTGTCAGGAAAACAATTTCAGTAGCCATTTCGTGTCAGCCAAGACAGGAGATTCTGTAAGTAAGAAAAATAAAATCCTTGTATATATATTTTTTTTTAAGATACAACAAGTTTCTTTTTTATACTTCACATATCAAACCATTGAGAACTTTGGCTGCTACATGTCCTTTTTGCCTGCCTAGTTGCATGAAAAATAGGTATTTTTGTGATTGTATATATTATTCATTAATTACAGTCGCTTCTTATCTGATTTGCAGCTTGAGGTATAGATTTAAATATGGAAATGGTCTAGCTTATACATCAGCATGAGAACTGAGACCAGCTGGATCTCTGCTGTCAGCCTGTATTGAGATGTATTCCTGCACTCCAGGTGGAGTCCCATCTATAGACCATCTGTATAGAAACTTTCAACAGTTGATGTTGTCACAAGACCCTGTTGTAATCAAAGTTTTTAGGAGGGATCCTGAGCCATGAGAGACGCTCCCTTTGCAGGTCCATTGAAATTTGAACATTCTGGTATTTGTAATGCTTTGCAGAACACATTTTTGAATGATCTCTTGACTCTGAGCTAACTGGGTTATTTGTTTTAGTTGGAAGCGTATGGGAGGAAAGGTTCTTTTTCAGACTGTATCAGTCAAATTAAATCACATTGTATTGTTTTGACTGATTTCTGTCACATGCCTAATGATTTTGTCATTCCCATAAAACAGTCCTGTCTCTGTCTCCTTAATGTTACTTACTTTATGTTATTGAATGGTAAGACCATGTTCAATTATATGGAAGTATAATTCTGTAACACAAATGGAATCACTTGTTGTTTTAAGTCCTTCGATGGAACTTCTACAGTGGACTGCCTAATTTTAGAAGATGATAGTTCTTCTGTAAAGTCTGACAATACTGCTGGTATAAATGCAGTGAGTCCTGACTCTCCTTATAGTTTGTGTTAAATCTTCGGCATAATTTTTTGTTTAAAGTGTGAAAATTCAGGCTTTTTGTGCTAGAAACAGAAGAAAAGCTTTCTAATACTTCACTCAATGAAGTACGCATCTGATAAAATGTGTTCCATTCTCAAGGAGACAACCTTTTTGTGGGATTTGTCAATAGGGAAGAAAAAGTTCTTTTTATAAGGTTGATATACTTAATGTTAAAAATTATGGAGGAATCTTTATTACATATGTCTTTTTAACTGATTAATGAGTTACAGCAGCATCCCACTATATACACTGGTTGTTCTTTTTTTAACTTACTGTTTAAAACCAAAAGTGAACATACCTGGTAAGCATTAACCAGAAATCTCTGTTTAAATATCTATTAACAAAAGAAGGTATGAGCCATAGTTCACAGTAGTTAATTTCCAGTTTCAATATAGATTTGAATTAACCCTTTCACTGTTACCGCACACTGACCTTTCAAAATCTTCATATATTTGAGTAGTTGTACAAGACAGGGTGTTTATTCTAGACAGTAATTTAAGAAGAGGCCATCCATCGCTACTGTGGATATGGACTAGAGAAGTCTTAAATACTCAGTTAAGATAAATGATCTGTTTTGTTTACCTCAGATCTTTCCAACAGACTCATTTGCAAAAGATAATTTTATGTATATAGAAAAGCCCAAAAGTCTCCTCAGGAAAGAAAAAAATTAATAAAAGATTTAGCATAGCTGACTGTCTCACTGTCCATCAAACTGCATAACTAAAGCACTGAACCTTACGCCTGATGTTTTGGGCCCAAAGCATCCTCGTGGCAGGTGATTTAGCTCAGTACACCTGAGAGCCTCGTGTAGGTTAAAGTAGGTCTCTGGAAAAGGTAAGCCTGTTCAGGATTTCCTTTCTTGCTGTGTGATTGTTAGTAGAATAGACCAGTACTAGACCCAAGTAGTTCAGAGAAAGAGAAATTATTTTGGAAGCTACCATGGTTTGTTGGCTGTGCCACTAATTCATTACTGGTTTCAATCTTAGGTGGAAGAAGAGATTGTGTAAATGGTATTTTTTTGAATTTTCATTGAAAATTACTAAAAGCACTTAGATGGGCCTTACCTTCTGAGAGTGGTGGCTGCATGATGAAAAGCAATGTTTGTTAGTTGTTTAGACTGTGAGCTCAGTCGAATAACCACGTAGATAAAATACAATGTGTAGCTTGGCAATGCAGTGTTCAGCAGCAGTGCAAGCTTAAGATGCATCTCTTTAACATCTGTTGTGTTCTTTGATCTCATTTAAAATGCAGCTGCCTAAGCAGTAAGATTGCTGGACTGGACTGAGATGAAGTAAAGTAGCTATTTAAGATAGCATTGCCACCCAATGATCTCTGTCAAACCATGTCCAAAGTCTGACTCTGCCAGGCTGCTGCATGCTGTATATCCTACTTGTTTACTAGATACTTCTGTTCAGTGTAATATCCATAAGGTTTTAAAAGACTCTTCAGAATGAACGTATCATTGCTTGGCTTTCATATTGCTAATGTTTTTTCAACACTAGCAGTAGACATTTTAGTGATGTTAATGCACAGTTCTGTTGTTCTCAATTTCAGAAACCTACATCTCTATTGCACAATACACTGGTAATGTATTTTTGTGCTAAACATTAGTGAATAACCTTATTCATATTTTATAGCACCGAGAGTAATATTTGAGAGGAGGGTTGTGTAAAAGCTTGTTTAAACTTGGGTCTCTGGAGGCAGAGTAGAAGTGTTGCTTAACAATCCAGTATACTGTTCGTTCCTTGTACCATTGTTGAGTTATTTTCTTCAATTTTTAAACAAAATTGAATGTACCAGATGAGGTTATTTTCAGATCTGTTTTGCACAGGTCATAATTTTGTATATCTCATTGTTTACAGTTCATGAATGGTTTGATATATTTGAAAGAACCTCAAGGATGTCTGTTTTTAATCATTTAAATGCAATTTAATTTTTTTCCATAGGTCTTCCTGTGTTTTCAGAGAATTGCTGCTGACATACTTGGCATCAAATTAAACAAAGCAGAATTGGAGCAATCACAGGTGATTTTCCACAAATATATGTTTTTTCTTATTATCTTATTTAGTATTAGAAAAATAATTTCATTGCAAATTAATAACTGTCCTTTAAAGCAAGCTGCATCTGTTGCTCTGAAGCCAATAAGCCAATTATTTACTTTCACAACAGATTTTTTAAAATATAATGATTCTTTATTTATCCATCATGATAAACATGCTGAAACAAGAAAATGTATGTTCAAAAATTAGGAAAAAACTTCAGTTTGAGAGCTGTTTGCTTAAAAATAGTACTTAAAATTGGTTTAGAAATTAAAACCTCTCTCTAGGTATAAATAGACAGGTATCATGGAAGATACTCTTATATATACATTAAATATTGTACATTGATGCCAGATACATGTTTTTATGACAATTGTTCCCGTTTCTTTATATATTTAAAGCATTTCATTTTAGAACACTACAAATTCAAGTGATAGAAGGCATAAGCTTCTGTGAGTGGAAATGTTCTAAGTTAATCTTCCTTGTAGTCATACAGGACAAAATATTATTTGTCAGTCAGAGAGTCAGGAATCAACTATATTAAATCCTGTTTAGTTAATCTCAGATTTTAGTCTTGCCGTGGTTTGAGCTCAGAGGGTAACTGAGCATCACGCAGATGGTCACTCCCCTCTTCTGCCCCAGTGCTGGGAAGGAGAAAATAGGCAAAGGCTTGGGAATTGAGTTCAGGACAGGGAGGGATGAATCACCCATTATGGTTACAGGCAAAAGACAGACTTGTTAGGGAATTAAAAAAACACATAAATTTAATACAGACACTAACAACAACAGCACTTAACAGGCATGGTAGGACGGTGAGAAGCATTATCACATCTTAAAAACACTTCCCCCCACCCCTCCCTTCTTCCCGGGCTCAGCTCTGCTCCCGATATCTCTACCTCCTCCCCCAGGTGTCACAGGGGCAGGGAATGGGGGGTGCAGTCAGTGCTGCCGCTTCTTCCGTCTTGGGTGGAGGGGCACTTCTGGAAAGTCTTCCCCCTGCTCCATCATGGTCCCCCTCTCACAGGAGACAGTTCTCCACAAACTTTCTCTGACGTGAGTCCCTCCCATGGGCCACAGCATTTCCCTACACTGCTCTGGCGTGGGACACCAACTTTCTCCAACCGGAGTCCCTCCCACGGGCTGCAGCCCTTCATGAGCTGCTTCAGCATGGGACACCCCCACATGCTGCAATCCTCCCAGCGCTGAACTACAACAGCAGGGGCTACTTCTTCTCACCAGATCTCAGCCTCCTTTGGGTATAATCACCTTAAACTGCATGGGGCACCACACAGATCTTATGTTAGCATCTGCTCCACCATAGACCTGCATGGGTGGTGGGGGGGCCACCCTGTCGTCTCACTACAGGATATGGGTGGAGGGTCTCTGATCTGGTGCACCTCCCCCATGCTTTCCTCCTCCATTCTTACACTGGCCTTGGTGTTCACATAGATGTCGCAAGTCTTCCTTACAACTCCAGCTCCTCTTCCCAGGTCCCCTTCTCAAATATGTTATCACAGAGGCGCAGCTGCTTGGCTCGGCCTTGGTGCTGAGGTGGAGCTGGGGGAGCTTTGAGAAGCTTCTCACAGGGGGCCACCGCTCTAGCCCCCTCCCCTGCTACCAAAAAACCCCACCACTCACTCAAACCCCAGGACAAGTCTTCATTGTGTGCATGTATAATATAGGACCTTAGTAGTGACTGTCTGCCTCAGGGAAGGAATATTGACTTTGTAAGGTCACTATTTTCCATTTTATTTTGATGCTCAAATGAGAAATGGATCCTATTCTGGCTCAGTATACCTAGTCTCAACAGCAGACAGACCTGTGGAATCATGTGTTTGGGTAGCTGTTATAGGTCCCTGGCATCTGCAATTATTTTTCTTACTGTACCAGTCCCAAATAATCTCCCCCCAGAGGAGGTGAATAGTTTCTGCCCTTGCGTTTTCTGTTTTGTTCTTTGTGCTATGAAGGTTATCTTGGGGATTTTCTGTCATTTCCTCTGCAGTAAGAAAGGGCTGAGAGAGGAGAGAATGTTGTCCAGCAGTAGGTGGGAAGGTCATCAAGAAGGTTTTCCCCCATTCTTTTACACTGGTGTAAGCAGTGAGTTAGGGATGTGAATACAGCGATATCACTGTGAACACATGGCAAAACCCTGCTGCATGTTCTGCTCTGAACTGTAGCAGAACTTTCTTGTAGTTCATGCTGTCCAGTAGTCGCTGAATGCAAAATGGTTCTAATGAGAGCATTGTTTTAGGGCCTTACAAATAAATTGGGAAAAGATGATTTTGCTATTTTTAAAAATCTGAACTGTAACTATATTAACTGAAAAGTGAGCACTTACTTAACTGTATCTACCAGAGTTGGAAGTCATTTGATTTTTATCAGTGAAATTTATGAGATCAAAAATGTGTTAATTATTCACATAAGCAAGAGGTTTTCTACTATAATCCCTTTTCCCTTACCACCTCCTTCTTCCTATTTCCTGCTTCTAAAAATAATGTTCCTGACAGTAAGACTGTGTGCATAGGTTTAAGCCAAAAAGATTTTATACAAACCCAGTTTCAGAAACCTCAAAAACAAAGATTATACTACTGAGGTAACCCTTACTATATAATGATGTTTGAGATTACAATACAGTTATTTTAAACGTACTTGTTGAACCAAAGGGTAGCCATTCTAGTGGTGTAATATCCTGGAACTGCTAGCTAATACCAACATTAAACAAGTACCACAAAATAAGTCAACAAATTTATTTTAAAAAAAAAGGCAAAACATTTCTATGTACAGCTTGGTCTCCTGCTTTTTGAAATATATAATAAATATATAATTTCTGAAAGTGTTTTGCCACAGCAGTATTTACAATCTGTGTTGAAGTGGTTAACTAGAAAACTGTATTGCAAACAGTAAAATGGTAAAATATACTTACAGTGCATATTTAACAAGCAAAGCTAAGTAGTTTCAAAAAGGTGTAATTTATAGGTAGAGAAATACCGAGTGTATCTTTTAAATGATCTTTTACTACTAAGGCACCGTCCATTTATTGTTCTGAGCTCTTTGATTATTTGCATGTAAATAATTAAGCACATAGAGTTCTTTAATTTTTCATTACTTATTTAGCTAGCACTGGAACATCAGCCACAGACTTCTCTGTGCTGTGTGTTGGTGTGTTCTGGTAACTCAGGTGTAAGCTTGTAGATAGGAATGCAGATACCTTAAATTAAAAAGAGAATATGATAAATGGAGTTATATAGAAAATTGTAGCTTTCTAAAGAAAGCGTCTGTTTTTAGGTTGTTTTTAAAGTAAGAACCTCTGTATAGTCCTGACTCAAGAGTACATAACTGTCTATGTCAAATTGGTATCAGCTGTATTACACAAATTGCAATAGCAATAGCGTATAAATAGTTAATATGCATAAACTAAATACTCTCTGTGGCCCATACATTACTGTTAATGTGAATGCAAGCTATAGTGATAAAAAAAAAAAAAAGTAAGAAAAACACCCTGAAAAACCAAGAACACCAACAAAAAACAACAAAAGAAGAAACAAAGCCAGGGAACAGAGTTGAACAGAAAAGAAACTTCATTGTGGTACAGTAGAAGTGAATAAGTGATGCTATGCTGTACATGTAACTAGAGAGAGAGCTGGAAAGCAACTGTCTGACTTTGCAAAGTTCTGCTAATCAAGCATAGTTTCAGTCCACTCTGAACAAGCACTAGTTCTTTGTTACCAGTCAAATGTTTGCTTCCCTTGAGAGTGCTATTTTGAGTGGGCTGTAGGAATTGCCCCAATTTAAGTTAGCGAGACACCAATGGGGATTGTACTGGAGTGTCTGGCTGTTAGCTGTATCTTAAGGATCATTGTTGTACGGAACCAAATACCCTGGTCACTTCTTAAGATAGAAAAGGGAAAGTCCCTACACAGAACTGGAGAAGGAAAACTTTAACCTTCATATCCTCAGGGAGATTAATAGAAGGACATTTCCTGAGAGAAGTTTATTAGTCTGCAGTGGAAAAGCCTAGCTGAAGTAATGTGTAGATGCTGTTTCCCAAGTGCATAGAGCTGTCTCTTGGCTGGAAGGACGTGGTGTCAGATGATGTTGGCATTACTAGGTTTCTGGTTTACCACAGACTCTTTTTTTTTTATGACAGGTACAGGTCCATTAGTGTGGTGGTGATTTTGTTTTGTTTTGTTTTCTTTCCTTCCATCTGTAAAATGGGCACAGGGCTACCTTAAGTTGTGGAACAGTTACATGAATGTGTTCCTTAAAATTTTTAGGCATTTAATACTCTTAACTATTGGACTATAAAAGTAGATAGGTAGAGAGACAGATGCTAGATAAATGCTATAAAGAAACAAATAAAAACAATACAGTAGTAAGTGTGATTAATCCTTAAATCAGTAAGTATGCAAATGTAAATGCAAAGTAAGTATGAAAAAAAATGCAAACTAGGATTTAATCTTCAAACAAAAGAATAAAATATATTTTAGTTTTTACAAATGTGCACTATTTACATGCTGGATTATATATTTGAATTTTCCATGTTTTGTGTAATGTGAGATTTCCTTAATTTGAAAAATTTAGAAGGTTGCTGCCTGAATATATTTGTCAGAGAATTTCAGATGTCTTCATTCAGTCTAGGTGGTAGCAAAATACAAGATGAAATATTGAGTTTGTGTAAAATGGCAACAGAGAAATGCTATATGTGAATTATGTTGTATTATATATTTCTTCATTTTTACTGATTGTCTAAAGTTGAGAATACTCTTTAAAAATTTTTTCTAGCACTTTTGATTTTATGCCTGAAGATCATATGTCTTGTGTTTAAAATCAATTATAATTGTCACAGTCACTAGGAAGATCTTAGAGGTGGCTCACGGGTAGTTAGAGATAAGTTGTAGGAATCTCAAACACATTATTTTAACTTGTATGAATTTGTTGGTCTTGAGTCATGACTTCTGAGCTTTGATGACTGCCAGAACTGCAGAAGCTCTTGTGAAAAGTGGATGGGGTTCTTGGTCCCTTTCAAATTAACAGCACAACCTGTTAATTAACTGCAAGGACAAGCCTTAGAAATTGAATTACATAGCATGCGTTATTTTAGAAAACAGCTGCAGCAGTTTAAGGTATTAATGCAACCCAAACTATTTGTTACTGCCCTTTTGCTGGAATTTATCACTCCCACAGCAGAATCAGAAAATGGAAGGTGATCATGTTCCTTGGCCACATCAGGGTGAAGTTGAGCAGCTTAGCTTAAACTGCTGCTGAAAGTTGTTTTTAAGTGAAGCTGCCAGACTTTGTGCTGAAGCGGATGAGGTGCAAGTACACGTTACATTCCACCAGCTCTCCTTTGGCAGCAGTGATCTCCAGCAGAGGAATAGGACAGACATTTGGGGGTGGTAAGTTTTTAAACTATCTCAGCTAGAGCTACTAAACCTTGTCTGCTAACATGCTGAGATGACTGTTAATCAAACCTTTATTTGGACAAAACTGTGATGAAACAAAGAACTAGATTACTCTTTATGCGTGACTGGAAAGTAGAGCATGTTTTTGAAGTGGAACGGTTCCAAAGTAAGAAAATTGCAGATTCTGACTTATATTTAGTCCTCAAAATACTCTCCCTTTTAAATCGCAAGGGTCTGATGAAATTTGAGGAAATAGCTCCTTTACTAATCAAATGTTTTTCTTTCTATATTTTTTACTTTCAACCATAGCGTAAAAACTGCATGGGGTACAGCTTTGTTCCTTGGCATTGGCAAGAGCTAGCATTTTTGTAAGTGATGTGTAGTTTTCTCTTTAACTAAATGCCGGTTCAGCAAACCAGGGTGTGTGCGCCAGATCTGTACAATAAAACATTTGGCAGATAACTCAGATCTGGAATTCAGAGCACCTGCACCAAGAAAGGTTATTTCTCATTATTGACAGTGGTTTGAACCATGGCAATGATATGCCTGACATAGAAACTGATACAAAAAAGCCTAAGTTTTTAATTAACCATGAAGTTAATAAAAGAAATGTTGCAGTGGTATTTTTTCACCCTTATTTAGATTAAATTCCTTTAGAAAATCCAAGTCATTTATGATAGTCAGCATCTTGCTACAATGTGCCTAAGCATGGGTCACTAACCTGACTGTGTTTACAGGATGGGATTTAGACCAATGTTTTGAGGAACAATTAATTGCCTACTGATTGCCAGACTTTTCTCTTTCTTTTTTTTTTTTTTTTACCTCAGCTCTAGTCAAAAGATTGGTATGAAGAAACTAGGTCTTGTGAGTTCAGATAACACTGTTTAATGCTAAAACTCCTACTACTGCCTTACATGGGATTTGGCAACCTTTCCCTTGATAACATCAGGCCAGGAGTCCAGTAAATCATGAGTGTTGTCCACTAGATAAGATAATATGAATGTGATCGGTTAAACTCAAGAAGAGTACATCAGCAGCCAATAAATCCAGATCCCTTACCAGACAATTAAATTATTATTGCTTGTTTGACATACAGGTTTTATTTACAGAAGTAATCTTTAACATATACTGCTTATTTATTCATATAATCCAATTTATGTATTATTTCCTTTAAAATAATAGTAAAAAATTAATTCATCCATTGATTTTAACCTTGAAAATATGTTGTGTAAAAGTTGAAATGTTTAAGAAAAAAATTATTAAATTGGTTTAGAGTATCTTTCATAGCAGACCTACCTCTTCTGTTTCTTCTTTGCTGATATTGTTGTATGAATTTTTCTCCCGTTTGCATGAACACTGTATTAATAGTGAGAAAACTTGCAACAGTTTTGTTTGTCTTTAGGGGGAAAAATGAGAGCCTTTTATTTTTAGATGAAGTAAAGAAAAATCAAACCTTGCAGCACTTAAATGTGAGGTTGTTAATTTACATCACTGATTATATGTTTAGTTATTATGTGATAGTTATGTAGTGAAACTTGCATGTATACATCTAATGCACTTATTATAATTGTTGGTAGGAAGCTGACTAATGTAGTATTTAAGTACCTTTGACTTAAAGGAATAGGCTGTTGTCATCTTTTCTTCCACTGAATTGTCTTCCTTTTTATTCTGTCCCTTCTCTTGCTTTAATACACTTTTATTGATGGCACATATGAATATTTCACTTTGGTGCTTTGAAAGTACATGTCCTTGAAGCTTGGGCAGCAGCCCTGGTGCTGATAGTGATGCTTTCAGCTAGACGTGTTGCTCTTGTATCAGTGTAAGGCCTGAAAAGAAATGCACTTTTGTTTTGCTTCTGCGTAGTCTTTTTATGTCATTCCTTCATTCTTTTCAACTACTGATCATTTTCTCAATTTTTTTTTTTTCCTTCTCTTTTTACATTCTTCTCTTGCCCTCTGTTCCATTATGTTGATCATGATTAACAGCATATTGTCAGGGCAGAACTAGTGAAATACCCTGAAGAAGATAACCAACATCACAACATTTCCAACAGCCAGAGCAAAGTCTGCTCAATGCAGTAGTTCAGGTACTGATGGAAAACTTGGGGTTTTTTTCAAGCTGCATTGCTTTTACATGAAATAACAACTGTTACAGTAAGTTCTGTTGGAAAAATATGTTTTGTATCTGTAAGCACTTGTAATACTTCACATGTTAATTTGGAACTCAGTGTACAATTACATGATTTTTCTGAAAACCAGATAATGCATAGAAACTTTGAAATGCTTCATGTTACTGTATTAGGAAGGTCTTTCAGTGCTGTATATTCAAAATGTTACATAGCTACCTCAGATGGATATGGACACAAAATTGTAATCTCATTTCCTTCTCCTCATATATTAGGAGAGACCAATGGTCTTATGAAATGCTTTGTAAATAGAATGGGTAATATCTGCTGGATCTGTATTAGAAAATAAGTATTTATGGTATACAGAAGTTCTTTTTATGTTAATTTAGTCTTTAGTTCATCTGCCTATCAAAGTTTCTTTGAAATATGGTTGTATTTGAAATTTGCTTTGAATTCTGTCCATATTTTCCTGTGAAGTGCGTGGAGTAAAGACAGAAAAACTTATGTACAATTTCCAATTACAATTCAGGCAGTTATTCTTCAAAAATGTATACCATAGTCTTTGTAAACAAATATTGTTTTATTATTTCCATACAAAACACTTTTCACGGAAGAAAAATTGTATTCATTGCTTTTGCAAAAAAAGTCATGGTCCATTTGTAGTGTTGTGAAAATCTACCAAGGCACTTCCTTCTTAGTAAGGATAAACTGGTATTTAGAACCAGAATTAGCACCTGATACAACTTCCTGTGAGATGATGAGAAAATTTTACCTAAGTTTTTACCTTCATATTTCATAGTAAACTATCTGTTGAATGCTTTGTCAGCATGAAGATTATATTTTCTGATTGTTACTGTGTTTTCTTTTATGACAGAGAGTGGTGAAGGCAGATATTGTCAACTACAGTCAGGAGCCTGTGACAAGAACCGTTAATCCTCCTAGAAGCTCCATGTGTGCCGTTCAATGACCATGCGATTCTTCTCTGTTTTGATACCTTTGGCAGTCGTCCTACCTTGACACAGGCTCTGGGTTTACCAGGAACTTTGTTTTAACAGTGACCGTCACAACAATGCAATTAGAGGTTTCAAAAACGTGTTGCACCATTGTATGTTGAGAAGCAGCAGGCAGTTTTCTGTCTGGCTGAAATTCAAACATGAGACCACACATTTGTAAAATTAAGATCTATATTCTTTTAAATTATATTTAAATAAAGCAGTATAACTGTGTTTATACGTTTCCTCCTATCTATTTGACTGATACTGGGATAAAAATGGATGAAGTCGTCCTGCATCCAGAATACTTTTAATGACATCACCATGGGAGGTTATTTTGCCAAAGCATTTTTAAATTTTTTTTCTCTTTTTTGCATCTGTGATCTGAACTAACACTCAGCAAAAGTGGAAAAGCTTTTGCTGGAATAATTTTAAGCACATAATATATTTTATCTAGGGATAATTTGGAAAATATTCCATTAATATATATACATAGTGCAAAATGTACAAATTGTATCCAATAAGAAACTGCTTGAAATAAAGCTGTAATATAAAAATAGTTTTCTGAAATCTCGAGTTGTCTCCATGGATGCTCTGAAAAATTCTTGTGTTTTTGTGTATTTTTGTTACCACATCAACATTACTTCTTGCAGTAGTAGATATGCTCATATGTCTTCATGAATATGGATGAACCTCAGTCAACAGTTTGGGCTGTAAATGTTGAGTGATATATTCAGCATGCATTAGAAACTGTTGATAGATCAATTAGGATCAGTTGTTTTTAATAACTAACTGAGTGACTTTTGACTTGCTCCTTTTTTCTTTCTAATTCAGAGTAAATGACAAATAAAAAGCTGTCTGCTCTGTGATCATCACACTTCTCTTCTGTTCCTTTTCTAGCAGTCTTTTAGACATCCAGTTCTCTGCTAGCATATGTGAATAGTAAGCTAAGGAGAGAAAAAAAAATTGAGCCAGCTTGATTCCAGACTGGAAATATTTTAATGTTTTAACTCTAGAATGTGTTTTTTTTATAAAGTACAACAAAACCTTTGGAGATTTAGAAAGTTAATGGGGCTGAGTGAAGGAAGCTTGTATATCACAAGTGAAAATCACAGGGTTCTTCAAGTGAGTGTTCCCATTAATTTGTTCAAGCAAGTGCTTAATAGTTGGCACTATTAAACTATTAGTAGTTTAATAAAACAGTTCAACTATTTTAATCATGTTTAAAGAAAGAAAAATATTACAGATGGCAAAAACATGCTATTTGTTATTATTTTGGTATATTCCAAGTTCACTGAAAAGCTAAGTTAATTTTTAAACCATTCAACATGAAGTTTGACACATAATTTTATAACTACATGATAATGACTTAGTGTTGTAAAATTTTATCATTCAAATGTGGGAAATTCTAAGAAACGAGTTATTGAGAAATTATTCTACACTAAGGTAGGTGTGAATTTGCAGTAAATTATTTATTCTAGGGTTGCAGTCTGTGTTCTTGCTCCTGTCCCATGGAGTTCATGCCCCGCTGCATAGCTTTACCTTATAGTTAAATGCAAATGAAAGATGAACTGTCTTCCACTATCACCAGATGAGAACTTCTGTTCAAACAGTTTTTCTGAAGCAGCTGATAAAGTTTACAAGTTTATGCCCTCCAAAGCATGTGATAAGGTTTTTTTGAATCCTCAGAGTTCTTGGTGTGTTGGTGTCCTGAACTCTGCCCATATGTTCAGATACTCATGAGAACTGCGCACAGCCTGGCTCAGCTAGATGGCTAGAGCCATGCGAGTCGACTTCCTAGTCCCGCTTCCCGAGTCATATGTAGCATGGCCTTAAAAATCAAACTGCTTTTTGCTTAAAAACTTCTGTAATCTTTTCAGAAGAAAATGCCTTTTCACAACTTGATAGACAAAGCCCATTATGACCGTGAATAATGAAAAATGGCTTTCACATCTAAGGTAATCCTGCAGTATGAAGGCTGTGATACATGTCCCAGTCCAAGCTGTTTTACAGATGGATTTTATGTCTTTGTCTCAGCACAACCTTTTATTCTCAGTGCCTGTTTTTCTAACTGTCTCTGACTTTTACATCCTTTTGTATTTTCTTTGATCTTTTCAGCATTTTCAGTGTTAAAGCCCTACCTCCTCTGAAGATATTTTTGTTTACATTTCCAAGCTGCTCTCATTCTTCCTCCCTAACATACATGTATATTATTCATGCTAACCAGGAATCTCTTGTCTTCGGTGCCCCCAGCCCCTCCTTTTGCTGCCCCTCTTAACCTCCTCAGATTTTCTGTATACTGACTTCCACTCTCCCTGCCTTTCCCTACCCTTCCTGCTCCATTTAGATCCATTACCTGTCCACGTTTTAATCCTTACAAATGGGCTTTGCTCTTTGCTCAGCCCTGGGGACCCCACCTTGAGCCTTTGGATTCCAGCTGCAGTCTAAATCCTCAGCTGTGGTAGCTGCCTTTGAAGTGCTGCAGCAGCTGTGGTTGAAGATACAGGGGTGCCTTTGCCATCGCCATGGCCCAGGTTCCACCAGGCTGAGCAGGAAGGTCAGAGATAAATGTGGTGGGTTAAGGCAACACGGAAAGGAGGAGTAGGTGCTGTTCTGCAGGGTAGGCAAGGGCGCTCGGGGCTGGAGGGACCGAAGCGAATTTAGCCGGCGGTATGTGTAGGGGGAGGCAGGGGAGCTGCCATCCTGTGCCCGGTCTGTAAGTAACGTCCCACTACTGATCCACATGATTCACATATGGTGGAGTTTAAGCATGTGCCATATTCATGCACTTAAATGTCTTTTGCAAGGTGAGAACTGGTTGAAAGCAATTCAACAAGCAGTAGTGAAGTTAATGCAATGCTTTCCAAAAGCGAGGTGACACATGCTTAATGTCCGTTGACATGGGGAGCGCACTGGGGCCAGGGGGAAGCATGTTTTTTTCTGAAGCTGAGGCCAGATGAAGGGAAGAAACGTGTTCAGGCTCTGATCTTACACAGATCCATGCTGGTGAAGTGGTCTGCCTGCTCAGAGCTGTTGTAACTAATGGTTTCAGTCACAGCTCTGCCGCTAAAAACTGTTCCTAAATTCAGCTTCTTGCTAGTGTCAGTCCTGTGTGATGTGGATACCATAGGTACATTGTGTCTGGCTGTGTGTTAGATTACCAGTGCTTTCAAAACATGTATTTGAAGCGTTATTAGACTCATGCAACTTCTTATCTTTTGTAGTTCTAAATTTGATGTGGTCAAATTGAGTCTCTCTCACAAACACCAGTGGGAAGGTATTTTCCCTTAGAGTGCCAGAACCTGCGATGACTTCACGATCTCCTCTCTGACTACATTGTTCTTTTGACAGTTCACAAAAGTTAGGAAAAAAAGTTCTTTTTAACTTTTTTTAAAGTTTGTTTTTTAAAAGAATAAAAGAAAAATAAAGGACACATACAAGATCACTAGAAAAATTATGTGAAATGTGCTCTTTTGAGGAATTTAAAAACTGTCATTACTATCTATCTGCATCATTAATCTACTTACCAAAAAACCCTTTTCCATAAAGCACTGTTTGGGTTTCACTGGAACTAAAAGGCCTTTGCACCAGGCAGCTTCTTTTAAATGCAGAGCTAATTTTCTTGTCAGAGAAAACAGTGGTAGATGCACCTGATTATGAACCTGGTAGCCAAAATTTTTATCATAATTTTATAATAAAAAATATCATAGTAATACTTAGAGTTGGATATTATGCTTTTTGATGATGATGACAATTTAAATAAGTTGAAATAATATTTTTCCTTTTTACATCTATTTTATGTTAGGAATATGGTTGCTTTTTCACAAAAGACAGTTTGTAGTCTTTGTTTCATGATGATTGTGACCTTTTCCTACAGGTTTTAGTAGAGAGTACTGTTTAGAATGTGTCCCTATTTCATGTATTGATCTGGCCCCAAAGATTTAGGTGTCTCTGGGAAGAGCAAGTGACGCCGAAGCCTTGTTGCTATGTACCTGTGCCATGCTCGGACCTCTGCTCTGAGCTGGCCCAGCACCTGTAACTGACTGAAAGCAAAACATAACTCATTGTCTTTCAGAGTAAATCTTGATGTATCTAACTAGAACTGTGCTGACCTGTTTATGTTTTGTCACTGACAGAAGACTAAATTGCTGTTCCTTAACATAATTTTATAATAATGGGAAATTTTCTGCAGAAAAATTTTTCCTGTTTAGAATACCTGCATTAATTTCTGATGTAGCTTAGGAATTTGTGTGAGGGGGCTGCTAGATGTATTTAAAGTGGCGCTGACTTTACAGAAATTATATTTACAAAGCTGACGTGATTAACTACTTTTCCTTCTGGAATTCAAGGATTATTTCTCAAGCAAAGAGGTTGTTCTACAATGTTGTATTCTTTTTTTTTTCTCAGTTCAAGTACTACTGCTTAACATATCATCGTATTTCTTTAGGCTGTCTTTATTTAAAACCAACTCATAACCACTTAAAATGTCAAAATAGCTGAATGCTGCTGAAAAGAAAAAGCAAAAATGTATCCATGTTTGCATAGGGGTAATGGCATACATATGAGATTAAAACTCCAGTTCAGATAATTATCCGTAGGAAGCAAATTTGTACTCTGATTTCAGAAGCTATGAATAGAATGTGATTAGAATTTGTATGTGCTACAGTTTTATTTGCAAAATACACAGGTCTTATATAAAACCTCTTTTTATAAAGTACTCTCTAGAAGCCTTGGGGATCCCTGTTTAACTTGCAAATGCCGAAGTTTGATCTTCCCCAAATAGAAGATAGTGAAGCTCCTGAGTTCCGTGAACTGATTTCTATTTTCAGCTTCCCATAGAGAGCTGACTGTTCAGCCAATTTAAACTTTTTTTTTTTTTTTTTTTTTTTTTTTTCCCCCCCTACTCCACTTCATCCTCATTCATTTTGGCACCGTTTTGAACTGGAAAACTTCCAGTTAGCTAATTGGCCATTTGCCTTGTTTTATGTTGGGGTGATGTCAAGTGCTGAAAAAACCAATTGACTGAAAGCAATCTTGTTTCAAAGGTTGGTCAGAACCAAACCTCAGGAGGTACCAATTTCAGGTTTGTTTTGTATTTAACCTCTACACAGCATTCCTTATCCTAGTGGATGAACCTCAGAGAAGAATATAGATTTGAGGTCAAGAGCTTGTGTTTGCTCAGATACCACGTTTAGAGCACTGAATTCTGGAGGAAATAGAATCTTTTTTTAATTTTACCTTCAAGACTTTCTCTACCTCTACTCTCTAATGTTATATTGGCAATCAATGTTTTTATAAAAATATGAATTCAAGTCCCCATTTAAAAAACAAAATGTGGTATTTATACTTCGGTTTAGGGAAGTTTTTTTTTTAAGTATGAGTGGAAAAAACTGTATGAGGTATCGCTGGCATAGGTGAAGGTGTTTAATACACATTAATCATCATCTTGTTATGATCTGTTAAATAACCTATATTTTGTTTTCTACTTTTCTTATTTAAAATATTCTTTAGAATGATAATTATTATAGGTACAAAATAAAATACAAAACTGTTTGTAACTAATTTGTGCCTCAGAGAACTGGTCCTGCGAACTGCTCCAGGCAAACATTTTTTCTTTGCTAACTAAACTTCATTTCTGTCCATTCTTGGGCTGATCCATACCAGGTAGCTTGCAGGATCATGACCTACTAATCCTTTTTGATTTCTGGTGAGCTTTTAAAAACAAAGTAGACCAAGAAACATCAAAGAAGGATTTAAAAGACACACACCGTGCCCTGAGAAGTAAACGGTGCTTTGGAAAGCATTCTCTCCTTTACAAAGAGGTGAATGCTGTGGTTCAATAATATTCACCAAAAGCACTTAAGCATATGCT